CCTGGAAGCGCCCCTGGGACGGGGCCCCGAGAACGGGGCTGGGGGCGTCCTTGTGCCCTGTGTTCCCCGCAGCAGGAGGCGTCATCGACTCAGCCTTCAGCGGGGGCCACTGGTGGTCGCCGTGGCAACCCCCAGACTGGCAGGGCCTTTGGTCCGGAGTGGGGGCCCGCCCTCTGCCCTGGGAAGCCGTGAACGACGATGGAGCCCTGGAGGGATGCCCGGCAGGCGGCCCCACACGAGCGTCCCTCCCGTGTGGGGGTCCTGGGCACAGCGTTTCTCTCCCCACGGTCTCCCTCTGTCCTGCCCCCCGGAGCCATCGCCCTCTCTCTGCCTGAGCTCCTGGGAGGGACGGTCCCCGGGAATTTCCAGCAGCATGCCCCCAGAGCTCACATTCTTTCTCAGTGACCTGGACAGCTCAGGGCCACGACCCTGCCGTCCCTCCACTGGGACCTGTTTCCACCCCTCCCGCCCAGCAGTGGGATCTGTGAGCGGGCTCAGCATCCAGGGGCAGCGGAGACTGAGGTGAGGGTCCTGGCGGAACAGCCGGCATCTTTGTGGTCCCCGAGCCCAGGCAGCCCCCAGGAGCCGGGACCTCCCCATCAGGGGCCTTCTCCTGGGGCAGTGGGCGTCACTTGTCTCACCAGGCAGGCGCGTCCGTCTAGCGGGCTCGGGGACACTGGGTCTCACTGTCCAGGGCCCCGTTCTCAAGTCCTCAGGGAAGAGCCCAGGCTCGGCCAGGGGCAGGGACTCTGGAGACCCAGCAGGTGGGGGCCCTGGGTCTGGTTCCAGGAGTGATGGCAGAACGAGCCCCCCCACCCCGGCATCTGGGAGCTGGCAGGAGCAGCCCAGGGGTCCTCTGACGCTCTTGAGTGCAGGGGAAGCCCAGGGTCACTTTGCCTTGCTGGATGGATGTGGACGGCGGGGACATCCTGCCTGCCTGGGAGCAAGGGGACATCGTTGCCAAGTGTGGGGCTCCCTCCAGGGAGGGCACTGGCCAAAGGGCCCCAGGCCCCTGTGGGTCACAGGGAGGGAGGGGTGCCCACACTCCCTGTCCCGCCACGGCCCCCACCCTGGCCCCTGTCGGGAGGCCTGACGGACAGCGTGCTTGTCATCGAGTGAGTCTGGATTCTGAAGCAGCCGTCTTCTCCATCAGAAGCCTGTCAGGGACCAAGGTCGCCTTGGTCCGAATCCCGTCAGGGTGCAGCAAACAGGGCGGGCATCATGGAGTCCGTGCTCTCACGGGCCCCACCTTCCAGACCCTGTCCGCTGGCAGAGAGCTGCAGAGCCCACTCCACGGGCTGCCCACACGGAGTCGGGACCCAGCAGCCCAGAGCTGTCGTGAGACCCTGGGTGTGGTGGTGAGAGCCCCAGCAGACCGTCGCAGGGCTCCAGTCCCGCGTGCGGCCCTGAGCCTGGCATCCTCCCCACCCGGCAGCTGGGGTGCCGACCGTCCCGCCGCTGCCCTTTCGGCCACAGGAGCCTGGACGCACAGGAACCTCTCAGCCTCCTCGTAAATGGACACACGCGTGACCCGCTTGACCCTGACAGTGCTGGGGAGGGGCATGGAGGCTGCACCCCAAACCCTCAAGGCCTGTGGCAGGCCTCCTCGGTGCCAGGTGGCTGCTGCCCTCCTAGGTAACATTAGTCCCCGGGGTGACATTAGTCCTCGGGTGACGCCTGCCCTCCTGGGTGACCTCCACTCTCCCGGGTGACAGTAGCCTTCTGAGGTGACCTCTGCCCTCCCGGGTGACTCACAACCTCACGTCTATGTGCCACGATGTCCCGCGTGCCGTGGCCCTGTGGGAGAGGCTGCTTCCTGGAGAGCTCGAGCCACGTCACCCCCTCCTGCTCACGTCTCCAAGCGAGGAGGACACCTTCCGGGGCTGCCCAGCTGCGGGCCCTGAGGCGCGCCATGCCAGGTGGGCGCACAGCTGCCCCGGACCCCCGGTGGCCGGCGAGGAGGGCCACACTGGCTGGGGAGCAAGAACGTCCAGCCGCGGCTCCTCTGGCCGCCAACTCAGTGCAGCCCCCAGGACGGCCCTGCGAGGGTCCCACAGGAGCTGGGGCGGACGGGACTCCACCCCAAGTCAGACGGCCCTTGTCCCATGGGCCAAAGGCCTCGCAGACTCCCCGAGGCACCCTCCGAGCCCTGGGTCATGCCTTCCGGCCCGGACCTCCCAGGCGACTCTCACCTCCGGGCGGACCTTCAGCCGCTCGTTCTCCCAGCCCCCGTCCAGACGCAGTTCAGAGGGCGGCACCGCCCCACCCCGTGCCCCCTGCCTGGCCCCATGTCCAGGAGACAGCCACATAGCTCCCCGGCTCCTACTGCGGTCACCCTGCCGGCCTCCCTCAGGGCCTTGGGGCAGGCCTCCCCTCCCAGAGCCTCCGCCCAGGATGCCGCCAGGCAGCGTGTCCAGACAGGCTCCACGGACCAGCCGATGAAAGGAGCGTGCCAAGGCCCCCTGGCCGTGACCTGCGTGCACGGAAGGCACCTGGGGGTGCAGATGGACCCAGCACTGCACAGTGGGAGGCGCCCAGGAGGAAGCAGGGTGCAGGCTCTGGCCCGGCCTGAGGCCACCCTGTCCCTAGAACGGCTCCTGGGGCTGTCCCCAAAATGCTGGGGGAGTCCGAGGAGGATGTGTTAGCCCAGGCCGAGCCCTGGAGGACGACATGGCAGAGGCCGCTTCAGGCCTCCGTGGGAGCTGAGGACGAAGCGCCGTGACCTGTCCCCCGGTGGGCTCCGGCACCAGGCCCCCGGCCACCCTCTGGGGCCACGGAGAATAGGAGGGTTCGGCCTCCCCTCCTGCTCCCGTGCCTTCCTCTGGCTGCTCCTTCTCCTTGTCCTCTACTCTACGAAGCTTCTGGAAACAGGCCAGCTGACCTAGGGCCGGCGGTAACTGTGGGCTACCGGACCTGTCTGCGAGACTGGGAAGGAGGGGGGCAAGACCTCCCAGACCCTCACCCCTGCTGCCCCTGCCCCCAGCGGCCCTTGAAGGGGCTGCAGAGGGGGCTACATCCCAGCCGGGAGCACCCACAGCCCAAGACCGGGCGCCTCACCCCGAGCAGCCCAAGGCATCAGGACAACAGGTCGTGTCTGAGACCCGAGAGGATCTGAGGAGAGGGTAAGGCGGGAACCCAGCCCAGAGCCAGACCCCAGACTGCGGTTGGTCGATGGGTCAGCTGGCATGAAGAGACGTCCCGGGGGAGAGACCCAGTGCCGGGCATCTCAGCCCCATGGAGACAGACCCCATGGGAGGGGGAGGGGGAGGGGGTTGAGGTCAGGCCGGCCTTTCCCGAGTCTTGGGCCAGGGCTGAAGTCAGGCCGTGCGCCCTGGGGTGCGGGAGGAAGGCAGGAGTGTCCCAGGAGTAGCTGGAGGTGCCCGACAGCACCCCGCCCGGGGCCATGCCCACTCCTTGCTCCGGGAGCAGCAGGGTGTCCTCCGTTTAAGACCAGGGGCCACGCAGGGACCCGGAGGGCCCCTGGCTCGCAGGTCTGTGAGGCCCAGCCCTGCGGGGCCAGGGGAGCTCCGCAGAAACACAGGCCGCGGCCACTTTCCTTCCAGCCACACCTGGATGCGTGTCCCCAGGACCCAGGCTTCTGCCGGCCACCCCAGCAGGGAGACCCTCCCCAGGGGATGGGCCAGCCCTCCCAGCCTACCAGCCCAGTCCCAGCAGCCCACGGGGGCGCCCAAGCAGGAGCCTGATCCCTCCCCCTCACGGGGCCGGGCTTCCCCAGGCCGAAGTCAAGGGGCTTCCGCAGAACCCAAGGCAGTAGGCCACTCTGTGGGCCCTGAGGCTCAGGACAAGCCCGGAGGCTTGGAGGCTCCCCACTGACCTCCACACCCAAGCACCCCAACCACCTGGACGCCAGGCCTCCACACCAGAGCCGGGCCCTGTGTCTGCCTCACCTGCCCCGGACGCCCCCAGGATCCCAGGACGGGCCCAGCCCTGCCACCCTCCAGGACCCCCGCCAGACCCTGCCCAGCGCCGCCACCTCCCAGAGGCAGGGTCGGAGACCCCCGCACAGTGGCGCCTGCACCCGGCCCCTCGGTGGGCGGCGACCCTCACAGCAGGAAGAAGCCAGGGCAGCCTGCAGGCCGTCCCAGCCCCAGACAGCCCCTGGGCCTCCAGCAGTCAGAGTAACAGGGAGGTTGGACACATGGAGGCCCCTGCAGGGAGGAGGGAGGGTGGCATCCTGCCGTCCTGGTCTGCCGGCAGCCTGCCCGGCGCCCTCCGTCTGACCTGGGGAGAGGCCCCCTCCCAGAGCACACGTCCCAGTTCCAGAGGGGCCTGGCGCAGCCTCCAGCTGTGCCTGGCAGGGGAGGGGCGCCATGCCGCCATGAGCCCCAGCAGCCACCAGGACGTCCTAGCGCGAGCCACCAGCCACCGGGGCGAGGGCGGGCGGCAGGGCCAGCCCCGCACCTTGTCACTCGAGGAGGCAGGGACAGGCTGCCTCGCGACCACCCTGGCAGAGGCCCCGAGCAACACGGCGGGCACGGCGGGCGCGGCGGCCCTGTCTCCAGAAACAAGCACGGAGCCGGCCTGCCCCGCAGCCAGGCCGAAAAACCCGGGGCGAGGGGACCAGCGGCTGGGTGCCCAGGGCAGACGTTCAGCTGCCGCCTCTTCCCATCCGAAAACATCAGGGGAGAGAGCGCCTCTCACGACAGGAAGCTCCCAAGTGGGACCCAGAGCCACCAGCACAGACCTCCAGGACCCGGGAAGGCCTCCCTCTCAGGGACAAGGGCCTCTCCTTGGTCTCAGCCCCGCTCTTGTAGGGCAAAGCACGATGAGTTCTCGGCCGGGGTGGCCTGCCTGTGCTTGCCTCGCCCGGAGCTCGCTCTGCAGGGGCGGGCAGGACAGGAGGGCGCCCCCAGGCCCTGGCCGGCCTCTCCAGCCTCCCCAACAGCCCACGGGGGCCACGGTCCGGAGAGGGCCGAGATCCCCAAGTCCCTCGTGCAAGGCCGTGGGCACTGCAGCCTCCCACCGCAGCTAGACGCAGGGCCAAGACCATCCAATAATTTACTGTGGTTCAACCTGCGCCCGACAGGGGCCCCCAGAGGGCTGGGAGGGGAGCCGAGGGCTGGGGTTCCGGTGGCGTTGGGGACAGTTCATGACAGTCCGTGCAAAGCGTCCCTGGAGGGTCTGCAGCCGCCTCTGTCCACCGTCCCTGGGTGGCCGGGCTCCGGCGGCCCCTTCCTTCCTTCCTTCCTTCCCTCCCTCCTCCTTCCTTCCGTCTGTGCCTCCTGCTGCGTCCGGCGCCTCGGATCCTAGGCCTGCGCTGGGGGCACAAAGGACGCCGCTGACCGCAGGCCAGGGGTCCAGTGGGGCCGGGAGCCGGTAGCAGAGCGGACGCGCCAGCTCGCGGGCCGGGAGCCCGCCTGCCGGCGCCCCTCACCTGGGTCAGGAGAGCACGCACTTGCAGCTCATGCAGCCCGGGCCGCTCTCGTCCGGCGGGTTCAGCTTCCGCAGCTTGTGCTGCCGGATCTCGCGCACCAGCGTGTAGAAGGCGTCCTCCACGCCCTGGAGGGGACAGCCCGGCTCAGGGGGACTGGCAGGGGAGGAGACGGGTCCCCTGCCTGGGGCTCCCTGCGGCGCCCCCCTGCCCCCCCAGCAGGGGCCTGGCTCATCGGAGGCCCCAGAGGTCAGGGCGGCCCAGGAACCGCCCGACTCCGGGTCTGGCTCGGGACTCGGCCGCCCTGCGCCCCTCTCTCTGAGCTACGGCCAGGCCCCCAGTGCCCGCGAGGGGCTTGGGCCCGACAGGCGCCCAGGGGATGCTCTGGGGACAGGGCGGGCGGGGCCCCAGGGTCACCGCTCCGGCCTGGCTCAGGGCAGCTCTCTCCAAGGACCTCCACCTCCCCTGGAGCTGGGTCAGCCCTGGACTGCAGGGCGCGAGCCCAGACCCCGGCCCTCGCCTCCCTCACTGCCCCGCCGTCCGGGGAGACTTACGGCGCGAGGGGCCGCTGGGTCCCATGGGTCCCGGGGGGTCCCAGAGGGTCCCGGAGCTGGAGCCAAAGCCAGAGCGGCTGCCCTGTGTCGAGGGAGAGGGGCGATGAGCAAGGCTCCCTGGCCGGGGCGGGGCGGGGCCCTGGCTAGCATGGCGGGGGAGCCAGCTCACCTGCCGCGTCTTGGCCGACGTCTCGATGTAGGGGATGCCGTAGCTGCGGGCCAGGTCCTGAGCCTGCCGGGATTCCACGGTGCGCGCAGCCAAGTCACACTTGTTCCCCACCAGCACCATGGGCACGTCGTCTGAGTCCTTCACCCGCTTGATCTGCTCTCTGAGAGAGGGAAGGGGTGAGCCGGAGGATGGGCTGCAGGCATGGCTGAATCCAGAACGTGCTGAGGAGACAGGAGGCTGCTGTCCCGGCGCGGCCCTGCTGTCCCACCTGCGCTGTGGGCTCCTGGGCCACACAGGACTCACCTGTACTGATGGATGTCCTCAAAAGACTTGGTGTTGTTGATGGCAAACACGCAGAGGAAGCCCTCCCCGGTGCGCATATACTGGTCCCGCATGGCGCTGTACTCCTCCTGGCCTGCCGTGTCCAGGATGTCTAGCAGGCAGGTCTCCCCATCAATGACCACCTGCTTTCGGTACGAGTCCTGAGAAAACAGTTAGGACGCCTCAAAGCAGCGTTCACACCGCCAGCCCCGCCTCGCGAGTCCTCAGACGAGGGGCTTCCCTGCTCTGGAGGAGGGGGAGACAGGCCCACACACCACGCAGGGCTGGGTCTGGGGCTGGCCAAGGCCGGCTCTGTGGACACTCGGCCGCCAGGGCCTTCCCAGGGCCAGGGAGGGGTCCCCGGCTCACCTCGATGGTGGGGTCGTACTCATCCACAAAGTGGTTCTGGATCAACTGGATGGTCAGGGCGCTCTTCCCCACGCCACCAGCGCCCACCACCACAAGCTTATATTCCGTCATCGCTTCTCAAGGGGCTGCAGCACGGGGCACCGCCGGGTCTCCTGCCCCACCTGCCAAGGAGGGCCACGCTCAGCCAGGCCCCGGCCCTGCAAGGCAGCTGCAGGCGCGGCAGTCTGAAGGCCAGATCGGCTCAGCTCCTGGGCCCAACACCCAGGCCAGGGGGTGGCGGTCAGGCCGCTTACCTGTGGCACCTCCCATCTGGGGGTCGGGAGGGGCCCTGCCTCGCCCCAGCTGCACTGAGGCCCGTGAGGGAAGCAGGGAGCCAGCCCCCAAGACAGGGTTGACAGCTGAGAGCTCCTCCCACCCACGCACCCAAATTAGAAGTTGCCGGGTCGGCAGAAAGCCCGAACGGGAGGCGCCCGAGGGCCGAGGTTACCGTCCCCCCAGAACAGGTCTCGCCATGGCGGGCTCGCCGCGGCGTGCCCAGGCAGGCCGGTGCCAGCCGCTCAGGGCGCCAGCGTGTTGCTGCAGCCGACAAGTATTTACGGGGCGCCTACTGCAGGCCAGGTGCCGTGGCAGGCGAGGGGGGAGGGCGGGCCGAGACAGCGCCCGCCCTCCGGGGCTCAGCCCGGCGCCAGCAGTCGCTGTGCCGGGGGGCCCGGGGCGTGCTTCGGCCGGAGGAAACCTGGAGGAGAGAGGACGGGGTCCCGGGAGTGCGGGCGCGGAGCGCAGGGGCCCGG